GATTTTTTTTCTCTGACTTTAGTCACAATTTTTTCTTAATAATCTCTATAATCAATGAGGATAGAAAAAAAATCGAGTTTATTTAAAAAAAAAATTATGCGTACGTATGCGGGGGTAAGGGGGGCCTCCGAAAGCGTACAGGTTCGTACAAGGGGGAGGAAGAATCCTAAATCAGTGGTTTTTACTGTGTACGTACTTTATGGATGTCCCCTATTTCTAAATTTTTCAGCATAATACTTATAAAGCAGAAATAGAAACTCTTAACTTTCAGTTAATTTAATACAAAAATGAATTGATAATACTTATAAAGCAGAAATAGAAACTCTTAACTTTCAGTTAATTTAATACAAAAATGAATTGATCAATCTAATAAAGTTATTGAACTTAAAAAAATTGCCTAAGACTAGATCATAATAAATATATTTTATACCAAAACCTAACTGGACTATTAAGGAGTAGCCATCTTATAAAGTTTTTAAAAAAAGTTCAAAGACTGTGTCTGTATTATTGATTGTACCAAAGTATTTATTGAAATACCAAAAAGTTTAACTTCACAATCACAAACTTGATCAAATTATAAACATAACAACACCATTAAATATCTTATTGGTATTACACCACCTGGGGCAGTTAATTTTCAGACAAACAGATAATGTTTGAGTCAAACTTTTGTCAGAAGTTAATCCTGGCAACTTTGCTCTTGCTGACAGAGGATTCAATATTAAAGACAAACAAAATGCTGTTGAAGCAACATTAAAAATTTCAGCATTTACAAAAGGTAGACAACAATTATCTAGATGGGAAGTGGAAACATCTAAACAGATATCTAATTTTCGCATACATATGGAATGAGAGACTAGTCAAATAAAAAAAAGTTTTGCATTATTCATATGACTGTGCCAATCACTTAAATGGATTTATTAGATGATGTTATGATTATTATTTACGCTCTTGTAAATCTCAATATGAGTGTAGTTACTTGATTAATATTTTGACAAATTTACAGAGAAGCAGTTTTTACAGTTTTAAAATTAACACGTATTAAAGGACGTTTTGCATTACCAAAGTATTTTGTTAAAAAACAACATACTAGATAGTTCTTAGAACGTTAGAAATCGCATCACCTTAATAAAATTAAAAAATACACTATTACATGTTTAAAATATTACATCACCCATGTATTTTGTTAAAAAACAACATACTAGATAGTTCTTAGAACGTTAGAAAATCACATCACCTTAATAAAATTAAATAATACACTATTACATGTTTAAAATATTACATCACCCATATATTTTGTTAAAAAACAACATACTAGATAGTACTTAGAATGTTAGAATATCACATTGCCTTAATAAAATTAAAAAAGACACTATTACATGTTCAAAATATTACATCACCCATGTATTTTGCTAAAAAACAACATACTAGATAGTGGTAAAAATGTTAGAATATCACATCACCTTCACAAAGCTTAGAAATACACTATTATATGTTTAGAATATCACATCTCCTATGTATTTTGTTAAAAAACAAACATACTAGATATTGTTTGTTAAAAAACAACATTTTTTGAACTTATTCGGACGTACTCAGTACTCTACTATATTACTTTATTACTTCAAAACGCATCCTCGTTTTTATTATTTCTACTGGTGCGGTGATATTCTAAGGTGCGGTGATATTCTATTACAGTCCTCGTAAAGCTTTAGACCAGAGCTTTTTAGACATTAAATGAAAAAAAAAAATGAAGTTGGTGATAAGAAAGATGTTACACAAAGTAAAAATAAACAAAAAAAATATATATCCAAAAAAAAAATTAAAATTAAACCAGGAAAATCTATTTCTGTAGAATACGATAGTGAAACAGAAACAGCATCTGAAGGTGAATCAATCTCTATTGAATTTATGATAGATTACTGAAGAGATGTCTAAATTTAAAAAAAAAAAAAAAAGTTTATGTTACAAATTGTTTGTTTATTCTTTAGTACTCTCTTATTTTTCGCTTTTTCTGACATTTAATTAAAAAAATCAGTAAGTTTTTTTAATCATATGGTTAAAAAATAATAAAAGAAAATCAAATTATTTTAGCTAATATGTTTCTTTAATACTGTTTATATTTGTTTTTTTTGTCCCTTTTTTAATTTCTTGACATATTTTAAGTACCCTTTTTGAAATAATTGCGAACTGTGAGTTTAAATTACATTAAATCTTGTTAATAATACTTCATTTACATCCGGTGCTAAAAAACTGTCAAAGTTACCCCAATGCCGGGTAACATTGACCACCTCATTATTTCCATAAAATCTTGGATTTGGTGAATACATTAGTAATAGTCTTTTTATTTTGTTAAAGATATTATTTAAAAAATCAATACCTCGTTATTATTTTTTCTAACTGCTATAAGGTTTTAATTTACAAAAAAAAGTACCCCTGCTTGATACCTAATAACATCAATAATGTATATACATAAATGCATATATATATATATATATATATATATATATATATATATATATATATATATATATATATATATATATATATATATATATATATATATATTATTGGCCTTGACACACACACGCACACACACACACACACAAACTTATTACAAGATAGTAGTTTTGCTATAAAAAAGTTTTTTTTATGTCTTTTATTTTATATAGCATTTTATTTTATGCAAGTTTAACAAGAATAAAGTAAAATTCATGCAATAATTTATGCTGAAAATAGTTATAAATTATATAAGTGCGACTTTGAAAATGCAATAAACTTTAGTGAGGACACTTACACATTAGCCTTGAAGAATAAAACTAATATAAAAGTTTATATAGTTAGATAAATCGAAAATTTTTTGACACATTTCATAACTATCTCGTACTTCTAAAATTAAAAGCTTATAGAATAGATGACAAACTCTGCAATTTGTTTGATTTTTACCTCAGAAATCATCAGTAGAGTATCATTGTTGGTGATACATAGTCAGAATGGATAATAGTAAATAGTGGGATACCCCATTATTTACTTTTATGATATATATTGATGATTTTTCTGATTTTGGTTTTAGATGCTGTATCTGTATTTACAGATGATACTAAGTTATACAATTTGCTTTTTGACAACTCACCATGCAATAACCTGCAAAAAAAAATATGAACATAATAGCAAACTGGGCAAAACTATGAAAACTATGAAAAAAAGTTTTAATGTAAAAAAATGTAAGTTATACCCTTAAGACCAACAAATACAAAATTCATTTATATACTTGTCGATAAAAATCTCAATACTTCAATTAATCTTAAAAAATCTCTCGTCAATAAAGGGATCTTTATTGACAATAATTTGACTTTTATTTTGTAAGTACAAAAAATAACAGTGCCGATAAAATTGCTGGAATGATCAAAAGATCATTTGTCAACTCAATATCTTGACATTTTGTACTTTGTTTATTTTCCTTGTTCGTCCTCACCTTGATTCTTGCAGCTCTGTCTACTATTCTAGGCTTTAAAAAGATCAACAATTAATTTAAAATGTTCAATGCTAGTCTAGTAAATTTGTTTTTGGCCAGACTGGACTCACTTACAACCAAAGACTACTGAGACTAAACTAGCATGAGCTATCGTTTCTTATGTAATGACATGGCAGAAACTTACAAATGCATTCACAATCTTTATAATTGTAGTTGCAACCCTTTTCTTTCCTCATTAAATACCATTCAGTATTTTATCCATCAACACCTGTTTTAGAGAGATGTCATCTGCACAGCCATTATATTTATTATTGTTACAGACCATTAAGTATTTAATCTGAGTTGTAATAGCATACGTATTAATATGGCCACTTCTTAATATTATTATATGATTATATATTTAGTTCGTATTTATTTCTCCATTATGACTAACTCCAACTTAACAACATGCAATCATGCTTATAAATTGAAAAAAATGTTTTGTAAGACAGATGTCTGGAAAAACTTTTCTAGTATGTAATTCACAAATATGTAGGATAGTTTACCATCTGAAATAGTGTTTAACATCTGTCACGGTATTTAAAAAACATCTAGATGCATATTGAGTTCATCAAATGTACATTTGCATATAAACAACTAGACCGACACAACTAGATACAATAGAACAAAAGGTTGATAGGCTTTTTTATATACCTCATTATTCTATTTGGAAAATTATAACCTTGGAAAATTATAATATCAACAATAATAATAATAACAATATGTTATACCAAAACTCTTATAATAGTTATTTGCCTAAAGATAACTTAAAATCTTCTAATGTCAAGTTTGTTGGTATATCATATTTTAACGAAACCAACCCTAATACTTAAATAACTATTGCTGTTTGTCATTTTTTTTAAATCTTAAATAGTAAAGTTAACAATTCACTGTATGTTTACTGCTGTATGCGAGTAAACAAACTCTTTTTTTTAATATAGAGTATAATTTTATTTATTGTAGAAATAAAATTTATATGAAATTAAATTTTAAATTAATTAAACAATAAATAATTTTTATGTTTATTTTTTTAGTGTTGTATATTAAAAACACTTCATTTTAGTGTTCCATAGCTGAAAAAAATATTTATTGTATGCCTGGCTAATTCATTTAATTGAGAACGGGATCTTAATCTCATGCTCATTTGAATCTTGTAATCTCAGGGTAAAGATTTACTTAGAGCCTCAATTTGGTTGTCTTTAGGGTGCATTTACTACGGCTCTTTAGCCGTAGTAAAGGCAACCTATAATGGAGAATGAAAACACTGATAAAAATAAAATTGTAACAAATATTTTTAACTCTTTCTTAGTTTCATATTTAAATAAGGAAATATTATTATGGAAACCTTTCCATACCAAGCAAACTTTAAAATTCACTTTCTTTTACTAACCGATAATCAATTTCTACTTGAAATAAAAACGGTCACATTTTACATTAAGAAATGAAGCTCAATAAATTTTAAACTAATATTTTCAGTTTAAAAAAATGATAATCTGAAAAAAAAAGTTAGTTTGAAGTTTTTTTATATCATAAATTTATTTGCTATGATTTTTTTAGCTGTTGTACCGTTAAACTGAAGTTGGCAATAAAGTTTAGAGAATTTTCTCTGGCTGAATTTTTTAAATCAAAAAACAACAATGTGTGCCATGAATGTAATCTGTTTTTCATGTTGGATCAATGAAAATTTAGTGTATTGGCCAAATCATCTTGCCTTTAGGCTGCTGTATGTGAAGCCACGCTTCTAAAAGTAACTGAAAGCAGCTGAAAAACAGAATTTTTAGTTTATTTTGGTAATTGTCTTATTTACAATATTGTTTTTGTTTTATTTACAATATTGTTTTTGTTTTTGATCTAAACAGCTATATTTGACTTAAATGTAGTAAATGTTGATTGTTTAGTATGGTTTTATCTTTTCTTTATATTTTTTTTTGACAATTTTGAGACTACTTTAGAACGGATAGAAATGTTATAGTTTACATCATCAGCGTTGAAACAACTTTTGATAGTGATGAAGAAGAATTATCTATGCCTCCAGCTTAAAAAATTGCAGGTTACAAAAAAAAGTGACACTGATGAGATTGTCTATCAGTTTCTCAAAGATTGAAGAAATCTTTAGTGTTTTAGGGTTAAATGTTTCCATCAGAGCTTTGCTTGACCATCTTTCGATTTATTGAATTTATTTGCCGGTTGAAAAGGATAAAAAGATCTTTTGAACCTCGAAGAAAAATTATGGAACAAAGACGCCTTATGAATCGATAGTATGTATCAGTGAATTGATATTAGTTAATAGTTTTTGGAAATGGTTCCATGTACTACTAAAATTTCTAATTTTTAAAGTGTATGATACATTCATATGAAACATGCAAACAAATGATACAATACAATACATGATTGATTATAATTATGTTGTATATAAGAATGTTTTATATAAATGCCTATTACATTTTATTGTGGTTTTTATCTATTATGCCCAGTTAGCAATGTGTTTTGTGTAGCTATGACTACTAATCTCAGACATCTGTGACATCTGTAGGGTGTATTCACCACAGCTTTTTGCTATGGCGAATACAACCTATCTTGGAGAATTTTATACTACTGTGTAAATGTAGTCAAGGTTAGGAGAAGCTTAGAAACCTTTATGAAATTCTGAATGGTATTTATAAAAAGTTTTATAAAAAAAATCAGTCCTGATCTGCAAAATCTATTTATAATAAAATAAAAACCTATTTATAATCAATTGCTTTTACTCTTCTGTAATGTCATATTTTAATAAGAATATCACCTTATGGAAACTTGTCTATAACATACACCTGTGAGGAACCATTAAACTTTTATTATAACCAACTATATTACTTTTTTATTTTATTTATTTTAGATAAACTTCCTTGAATTGGATGGAGGAGATTATTAAAAACAACAACTTATCAACTTACAATTTTAATACAGCTAATGGCTAAAAGAGTATGTTTGTTATACTCAATGTATGGAAACAAAGGTCATTATAGGTGAGGTACAATTTTTGTATTCAATAACATAATAAACAAATATTTTAGTAAAAAATCATTATTTTAAAGTAATAGTGCGGGAAATACGTTGTATTCGTTCAATTTGAAATCGCTACGGACAAAAATATTAAAGAAAGAATAGGCAGCTTTCTGGCCACGGCCATTGATAGAGATGACGGAAGAAGAAATAGAACCAAGACTGAGAAACGCCCAATATTTAGCAATGAAAGTATCGGCAAAATAATCTAAATCAATGCCCACTATCTGATAGTGAGAGTATAATGCAGTAGTTTATTAATATATATATATATATATATATATATATACATATTTTTTGTGCCTGTATTTAAATAGCATTGATTTAATTTGTTATATTTTGATTTTGTAGCACTCCATACCTATTTTTTTCATTTGTATCTGTTTCATATAACTTTTAATGGTTTACAATTTTTTTTTCTTAAAACGTGTTCTATGTTCATTGTCATCTCCTTAATTATAACCTGTTTAACTCAAAAGAATAATGCAGCCTAGCACTATAGTATCATTTAAACAAGAAAACTGTTATAAATTTTAATTATTAAAAATGTGTAGAAGACAATATTTTTTATTATTTTTTGATAATAAAAATTTAATCGAAAATACTCAATATTGTCATTTGTTTAATATAGTTATATCGGATAATATTGTAAACTATATTACGCCAATATTGGCCAGCATTATATCCCCATTATTGGCGCAATATTATTTACAATATTAGCGCAATATTATAAACTATATCGCGCCAATATTACAAAGTGAATATTTTGCAAATATTGTCCAATATTGACTTTAAGATATTGGCGCAATATTGGCCAATATTGACTTAACAATATTGGCGCAATATTGTAGCGCCAATATTGGCCAATATTTGCAAAATGTTCACATTGCAATATTGGCGCGATTTATAATATTGCACCAATATTGTAAACAATATCGCCCCAATATTGTTTGCCATTTGGGTAATAATGTATTATTTTAGCCAGATCTGCATATACGATTTTTTATAGATGTAATTACATATAGAAAAAGTACTAACATATTTTTTTCAGATGTTTTTATTTTTGTTTGTTTTAAACATTTTCCGTTCTAAAAGGATGCAAGCAACCACTATTAGAGTTGGAAGTTACTAGAAGAGAAAAGATGAAGTTTATAAAACAAGATAACAATTAACAGACAACTTAAAAAACTTCAAAACACTGATGTTCAAGGAAAAATAGATGAATAAAAATTTTTCTAGCACTTAAGAATAGTCACAAAAAAAAAATGGTACTTTATTTAATAACGAGTAACATGAAATTGAATTTTAGTCAATGGCACAAGAGACGCAAGGTCTTTATAGCAGCGCTTATTTTCATATTTATAAAAAAGAGAAAGAAAAGCAACTTTACTACGATGTGACAAGGGTTGAAGGTTAGCTGCAAGAGAAGGTCCAAGTATGTTTACTATCCGTTTTTGTACCTTGCCTAAAAAATAAAGAGGATTATTTGTAGATCCCCTAAAGATATGACAACAGTATTCTATACAAGGATCGTTTTGATTTATAGAGAAAAAGAATTAAGTGTAATAGCATGATTAAGAGACAAAAACATGGCAAAATCAAAAGTCTATAACAGGTATGTTGTCCCAACCACAAGCTGAAGAAGAGTCTAAGCAGGAAATCACTTTAGATACAGAAGATACGGAAGAAGAGTCTAAGCAGGAAATCACTTTAGATACAGAAGATGGTGTAAAATTAATGTCAATTAATGGATCAATCTGTTTGTCAGATATATCAAATAGGATCTAATTAAAGGAATCATGAGATGAGCTTGATGAAAAGTTCATAGCAAACAATTCAGCTTTGTCTTTAGGTAAGATAACAAAATATTAGCCATGCAAGAGAGTAAGAATAACAGATTTGCCCTTATTATGGACGCTGTTTATGAACACTGTTGCCTTTTAATATGGACACTGTTAAAGATTCTTCAATAGTCTCTGGAGCTTAATTTTTAAATGAAGTACAAAATTTCGTGACCTGAAAATAGCAGGTTTTCGTGTAGAAAAAAACATTTTACAATGTATTCCACCAATTGTAAACAGATTAATTAATCGATTAACATTTAAAAAAAAGTAAACAATCAATTAAAAGTTTAAAAACGTAAACACAACTTCTTATGACTTTATTTCTCTTTTTTCATCAGATATAGTCTTAAAAAACATAAATTATTAACAGTGCTATCAGTTAAACTAGTAAAAAATAACCCTGCAGCAATAAAACTTCTTTCAAAACCTCTTGAGGGGATGACTAACAAGTTAGTCCTTTATTTCTTACTGTTGTTGAAATTATATTTGATATCATTTCTGTTAATTCTTCAGCTTTAGTTTTTTTTCTTATTGTTTGTACATTATAAGTAGATTTAATATCAGACTCAGGTGTTGCTTCTACTTCCTCATGTAGAAACAAGCGTATGAAAACATTTTGAGCTAATTTCATTCTTGTTTGGTTATTTTAAAAGACCGGGTAACTCTATTTTAAAAAACCGGGTAACTCTAAATCTGATTTAAAGTCATCTGGATTATACATACAACATAGTAAACCAGCAATAACATAATTTCTTCTTTCAGTAACTCTCTCAGAGGCTACATTTAGTTTTTGACAAAATTTAGTATTTTGTTCTCTAAGATTTTGAAGTAAAAACAAAATAATTTTATCAGATTTGTTTAGATTCACAGTCTCCCCTTTCCAAATCCATAACACCTAACTCTACAACATGAAGAGCCTGAACAATATCAAAAATGTGTTTTATTTCTTCCTCTGATAAAATCAAATTTGTTCTGAATATATCTACAAGATCTTTTTTATTAATATTTTTTAATTCCGAAAATCGTTTTAACTTACTGATTAGATAACTATATCTTGTTTTAGGATCCAAAATAGACCTAAGCTCTTTTCCTAGTTCTAATCTACAAGTGTTTTAAAGGGTATCATTTTTAAGTGGTGATTTTCTAAAGAGCATGATAATTTTACGAATTTTGTAATACCATAGTTCTCGTTAAATTGCACTTCCTTATCAACAAAGTTGGTACTTTCCTTTATTTAGCTTTTCCATAATTAGTTCATCTCCAGTTAATTCTGTTGCTAGATATTTTTTCTTGTAAAGAATAGCACATACCGCAAGATGAATTCAATTGGAAATAGCAAATTTGGTGGGTAACTCCCATTTCTTGTCCCATTTTTTTCATGACTAATGCACCATCAGTAACACACCCAAAGATGTTATTGATCAAATTTAAGCCAAAATCATTTAACTTTTCAATAACAATATTAACTGCTCTTTCTGAAGGCATCGAATTTTTTAATCATTCCAATAATCACTTAATAAAATAATCAAGACTATAATAAAATTTGTCTAGGCAATGTACATCAAGACATGAATACCTTCTAGTTCTACCTGAGTCTACTCATCAAGAGAAATTAAAAACCTTTCTCCAGTTATTTCTTTTTCTTATTTTTTTTGCTGAAGCTCTTGTGCAATATTTCATTTCATTGAGGTAGTTCATAACAGTTGCCTTTATAGCATTTCAATCATCGAGGATTTTAAGTCCTTGAGCTTTCCAGTCGTTTTTATTATCTTTACTATTGGCCAAAGTTGCAAAAGAAAGATGATCTACAGTTGTTAAACGAGCTAATACGTCACTAGTTTTGTTACCTGTTTTATTACAGTAGGCTAAATAATAGAAAAAACTTGAAGTTGACGAATGGAATTTAATTTTGACTAAACAAAGTTTGCTTTTATATAGTGATTTTGTTTTATTTTCTAATAAAAAATGCTTTCAAACATCAGAACGACTTTTTTCAGATAACATTGTAAATAACGTTCAGGCTTCTTTACGGCCGCGTTGTATTACTTGTTTACATTTTTACCTGAAAAGTGAAAAAATTTGTTATTGTTTCTTTAAAAATGCTATTATTATAACAACAAAGTGTTAATAAAAAAAAACTATAACATCTATAGCATTTTAAAGAAAAAAAAGAATAAAATAATTGTTTGAAAATTAATTGATCAACAATTAATTGTTATGAATCAGTTAATCGTTTTTTTTTTTCTACCCCTAATTTCTACCCTTGGATAGAAATTAGGAGTGGTTTAAATTATAATGATAGGTAGATTCTGATGATGAAGAAGAACGATACCATAGTCTTAGAGAGATCAAACCCTGATCAGAAGTATCTAAGGGTGCGTGCAGAGAAACTAAGCACTGTCTAGGATCAGAAACAAGACATAGTTTGAGTTGAGAAAATAAATGGTTTAAATTGTTTGGAAAGCAAGTGGGAAACTTGATTATTTGTGTTAGAGATTGATATAGGCAAAAGTTGTGTGCCCCAACACCTGCGGAGTCAGTGACTCTAGAACCAAGCCATTCAGTGCAATGAGCCATTCAGTGCAATGAGCATTAAAGTCATCAACAACAATGGTACTGTCTGAAAGAGAAAGAGAAAGAGCTTAGTCAATTTGATCAGAAATAACATTGAAAAGAGTACAGCCTTGATATAAAGAAAAACAAAAGAGTACAGCCTTGATATAAAGAAAAACAAAAGAGTACAGCCTTCATATAAAGAAAAACAAAAGAGTACAGCCTTCATATAAAGAAAAACAAAAGAGTACAGCCTTCATATAAAGAAAAACAAAAGAGTACAGCCTTGATATAAAGAAAAACAAAAGAGTACAGCCTTGATATAAAGAAAAACAAAAGAGTACAGCCTTCATATAAAGAAAAACAAAAGAGTACAGCCTTGATATAAAGAAAAACAAAAGAGTACAGCCTTGATATAAAGAAAAACAAAAGAATACAGCCTTGATATAAAGAAAAACAGTATAGAACAAGGAAAAAGGCAATAGAATGAGGTGATGCTAAACAAAAGCACTTAAAAAATAGACTGAGGATTCAATTCTAGTTTCTCGACAAAATGGGTGAATTCTTACAAATGTAAATGCCCAGGTCATGCATGTGACTATTGGAGTCTTAAAGAAAGTTAACCATTAACACTAAGATCACATTATAAGACAGCTGAACTCAAACTGATTTGACATTATATTTTAACACAACCTTTCTCAATTATTTAAAGGATCCAATTAGACTAGATGTCAATTGGTATTCATTTAGTGACATAATTAACATATTACAGGAAACTAACCTCAAAAATACTGGAAAGTTTTACTTTTATCTCATTAAAAAAAAGATAATAAGAATTAAAAAAAAAAAGATTATCAGAACGAATTATTATTTAAAAAGTAAAAATTAAATCTATAATAA